ATTTTCAATCCTCAATTACAGAAAGAATAAATATTGTTCTCGTCTCACAAATGAGCATTTGAGTGCCATTTTACGAATTTCTACGACAGGCATGAAAGCAAACATTCCACAAATAGCCAGTCAAATACAGCCTCAAAAATCGCATTAAATTTTGATTCGACTCGCATATATAGCATATTTATTTCGAAGTTTTGACTTAATTTGTCTGTTTTTTCTCATTTTCTTATTATTGTTTCTACTTATTAATAAAATTTATATAAAATGTTGATGAATAAACTAAAAGTAAATATTTGTGTTTTTGCATTTTTAATATCATCGATATAGGTACATACATACCTATTAACAAAAGTATGAACAAGTGCGGCCCGCCTTTATTTCTTTTTGCCACTATGTGGCCCTTGCCTACTAAAAGGTTGCCGACCGCTGGTCTAGATGATAAAAATTACATCTTTGACATTAGATTTCATTGTTAAATTTTACATTAACATTTATAAAATAAATAAATAAATTTCGATAAATGTTATTTTTGATAAATGGTCACATTTTAATTGTACTTTACTCTACACTACTTAGTTAAGTGGTTAGTTTACGAAAAAACGCTTAGTTCCATAATTTTTATTCACTTGGTATATACTTAAAACACAAAAAAAATACACAAAAATTAGTTAAATAAAAAAAATACATTGATAATTTAACAATTTTTTTTATATTGAATAGTGCGTATTTAAATGTCAGTTATCATGGCAATAAAGCACAGACTATAGTAGCGCGCTGTGAGGTTTCGTTAAATTTGAAAAATGTAGCGACTATTAATTAAACAAAATTGTAATCAAAAAGAGAAAGACAATTTTTGCCTTAACCATTTACTGGAAGCTATTTAAAATGCAGCAAATTTCGTTTAATTTATTTTTTAATAGTGTAATTAAACACTTATGAACACATTTTATAATCTTATAATAAACAATTTTAAGGTTGTGTTACACATTTTACTATTATACTAAGCACGAAGTAAAAGTTTAGGGGATTCGGTTGGCAACATATGCATTAGTACCAACAATCGCACCAAATAAGCTAATCCAAATCTTTCATAAATACGGCATAAGTTTGGGTTAGCCAATCACAGTCGACCACCGAGATCACGGCGACGCCGAATTTATTTTAATTCAGAAGAGTGACGTATCTGTTGTAAAATAGATAATCTGTGGTTTGGAAGAGTGTCCAATCTGCAAGTAATCTGTGTCTATGCGTCATAACTCATAACCTCAAATTAGACATTCTTTATTTGGGACTCTAAAGTCCTAAACGACACTTGACGACTTACCATCTTGCTCTTTTATGTTATCAGATAAGTATTATTTCTATTTTAGGTAGGTCCCTTTCGTTGGCCCAAAATCCGCGGCTCTCGTTTCTCACCTGACAGGTAACTTCAAATTTCTTCAAATTGGCAAAATTTCGTTTATATGGAGGCTTTTGAGTCTTGAACAGTATTTCACAAACCACCACCTACCTAATTTAGATCGGATAATGTGCATTTTATCGAAAATTGTATCGCCGGTGCCGTTTCAGGCCGCTGCTAGTCCCCATCGTGACTGACGCCCAGAAATGTCAAAAACAAACGCCACTTGATTTTTTCAAAGAAAATTTTCTCACGTGACAGGTTACCTCAAATTACACATTTTTTGGCAAAATTTTGTTTATATGGGGGCCTTTGAGTCTTGAACAATATTTCACAAACCACCACATACATATTTTAGATCGGATAGTGTGCATTTTATCGAAAATTATATCGCCGTCTCAGACCACTGCTACCCCGTCCTGGCCGCACTTGGACCCATACAATTTATTAAACATTTCACCGGCACTCACCAAAATGGAAAAAATAGACACAACACATTCAACTTGATCACTTTTAAACAAATCACGACCAATTCTAACCGGTTCTTTCGGTCCTTTTGTTGCTTTTTAGTAGACGACAAATTTCGATGACAGAAAAAAACGTCAGACTGACAGTTCTCAACTAAAATCAACAGGTCTCTGAATTTTTCAAAGAAATTTTTCTCACCTGACAGGTTACCTCAAATTACACATTKCTTTCATTTACTTCGCCCCCAAGTACAATACCTGACCCGCAAATGTTCGACACTGGTTTTGCATAGTTTTCACCGTACTTTTCATGCATTATTTCCGTCACCTCAATCCTAATACAGATTTTTTCGTCAAACTTCCTTTGTATGGACTTGAGTCTTAAATCTTCCATTTTAAGCAGGCAATGTTAGATAGGGATATTATTATACCTCAAATCAAAGTTCACGAATCATCAATGTGCATAAAAATCTTTCGAAGCGGTATTTTACAGAGACAACGGCAGTTCGGCGGCCCACACTGCGAGCATTCGGACCAATGACCATTCGTTCCTATGACCGTTCGTCGTTATAACTTTTTACACTTTTGGCGCTTTCGCTCCAACTCGCACTTTACAAAAAACCAACACCGATCTTTGCACAAATACCAATTACGTCATCCTTTTGCCTTTTTCAAATCACACACAACGTTTATCACCGTATTACCGAGGTTTTCGTTTGATTTTCTTAAAGAGTGTGAACCATATTGACGCGAACTGTCAGATTGAATGATTGAAATTCAACGCACTCTTGGTTAAGGTATTTTTTAAACATAAATTAAATAGAAATTTAGTCACTTTTAGGCCTTTTTCAGCCATGAAAGTTTCGCATTCCATAGATTTTTGATTAAATTTTCGTTTTCTATCTTTGCTTAGTCTCCGCATTTTGCCGTTTTTCACTTGTATCGGGTCCAAGATTTGCTACAATGCTTTACACGGGTGTGAGAGAGATGGAGCTATCACGCTTTAGTAATAGATAATAATTCAATTCGTACCGTGGCATATAACTGCGGTACTTTTTCAGTGAGTGAGTTGATTGCATTCCTGTCACATTATGTGAAAACTCTCCCAGAAGCTGAATTGAATATTACCCAAAACATTAAGCGAACGTCTTCGCAGAGGGTGCTTGCAGGGTCAAAATCGCTTACGTGCTTTTCCTGAGGGAAAATCGGTCATATATCGCGTGATTGTGTAACTTTGGAGGGTCAAAGTCATGACTCTCCCACTAAAAAACGCTATGAGTCGACATTTAATACCATCGGTATCGGTTGAGGAGGGAATCGCGCAACTTGATCTAGTTTTTAATGCTCTTCGGAAAGCAGGGTTCTCAATCAACATAAACAAATGTCGTTTTTTGATGAAAAGTATAACTTATTTGGGGCGCGAAATATTCCCACAACGAGTTTTCTTCACAATCTTATCTCCCGTTTTGAAAAGACGGGAAGTTTAAATTCGGTTTGTTCTTGCCAAGTGAAAGCAAGACGTCAAGCCGCAGCTCCCCCAGAGGATGAAAATGTTAGCAGACCTGTTGTCCTTGCTGCAATCGGTGGAAATCCGTCAAAAAGTGTTCGCCAAATCGAAGGCGAAACTGGCATCGCAAGATTGTTAGCAAGATGGAGCCCCCAGACACACGGCATTGCAAATTCGTAGATTATTGGACGAGGTGTTTCGTGGAAGATGGATTGGAAAGTTCGGGCCCATCAATTAGCCGCCTCGCTCACCTGATTTAAATCCATGCGACTTCTTCATCTGGGGATTTATTCAGGTTCGCTTGTATTAGAGTTCCTATATTAGAAGACTTGGGGCACTGAATGTCAGTTTTCTAATTTTTCTTTTATATACGTCGGCTGACGTATAATAACAATAAAATGGGATACAAATCAGTGGCGTTTTGGTAAAATTTCACATAAAATCAGATAAATTTGTCAAATAAAAATTGACCTCTGTCCTCGGTCATTCTGACCAATTCTGCAATGTCCTATTGTGTTAATACATAAAGAAACTATGAGTGGTTTTTGTGCCACCTTGCCCCAACGCTCAAGACAGTGTAAGACGAGTGGAACCTCTTTAAAACTAGTCAACTGGAGAGTGGGCCCCAAAAGTAAAATTTATCAAAAACAAAGGTGAAGCTTTCAGATGATCAAGGACTATTATTCCGTTGTTTGGCGTGTTTTATTTTATCTACGTCAGGTCAGGTCAAGTCTAATAATTTCGTAAGTTTCAGGTTTTAAAACGTTTTCTGGAGACACTATCAAGTTTTTATTACTCATGGTAAAGCTGTATACAGCAGCTGTGTAAACATAATTTTTTCCTGTCTGGCCGCATCTCAATGTCCATTTATCTCCTACGTCCCTGTGAAACTGTGAGTTGTTTTCTGTGCCACGTTGCCCCAATGCACGTAACAGTGTAAGACAAGTGGAACCTCTTTAAAACTCGCCAAATGGAGAGTGGGTCCCAAAAGTAAGATTTATCAAAAACGAAGGTGAAGCATTTAACAAGATCAAGGACTTATTATTCGGTTGTTTGGAGTATTTTATTTTATTTTCTCAGGTCAGGTCAGGTCAGGTCTAATTTTGTAAGTTTCAGGTTTTAAAAGGTTTTCTGGAGACACTATCAAGTTTTTATTACTCATGGTAAATGCTGCATGCGGCAATTGTTTTACTTTAGTGTGTACTTTTTGTTCACATAGTTTTTTCCTGTCTGGCCGCATCTCAATGTCTACTTATCTCCTACGTCTCTGACGAAATCTGACGTAAAATTACGTCAATTTGTCAATGGGACAAAATTTATAACCTTAAAGTAATTTTTGAAATAAACTTGACATTAGTTGCTACGAAAAATTTTAATGAAAAAGCAGAGAACGTATACAGGGTGATTCTTAAATAGACCGACAAAATTTTATTCGTGGTAGTATCAAATAAGAACATGCTGGAAAAAATATTTAAAAAATTCTTTGTTTAACCGTTCTCCAAATAAAATTTATTAAAGTGATTTTCGAAGTAAAGCGTACGCCACTGATGTGTTCGTAAATAGTATTAGCACAGGTAGTGGAAACCATGGTATTAATTTGATAAAAATGTACTTGATTATTGCAACAATTCACAAACGCCGTAAGTGGCACGTATCAAGGGGGTTTTGCCCCTAAAATATATAAACGTAAAAATCGTACAGTTTGCCTCCATTTATCGTTGGGAAGCTGTGATAATATTTTGTCGGTCTATTTAAGAATCACCCTGTATACCTTATCCAAATAATACAAAATTGGCTCGGTTTGACGTTCAGTGTCCCAGCTCTTCAAATATAGAAACTCTAGCTTGTATATGCGCAACAAAAGATATCCAACAGTGGATGCCCTGAAGATAGCCATTCAGGAAATTTGTGGGCAAATAACGCCTGTCATGCTCAATAGGACACGGCGCAATTTTGAAGAAAGGCTACCTTATTGCACAGCTGCAGAAGGCGGTCTTTTGAACAATTAATTTGAGTTGTTGATTTTATTCGTTATTTTGTAATTGTCGCGTATCGGATTCCGGGAAGCAGAAATTATAGTTCAAATTCTATTTACAAGTTTATTTTAGATGACCAGTCCGGGTGATCGTTAGATTCCGACTGTCGAAACTATTTACAATATTTACAAATATTTCCTCTACAAACACAGAGTCTGGTGGTAGGGGATGGGTACTCGCAGGTACTCGCCTCTACAGTAATGAAAAAAAAAAACGTTTTTACTGATGATTGCTTGCCTTGGTAGTTCTTGATTCTTGAGTCTAATTTATATAATTAAACGAGGAAAACTGTTCAACTTGACGATATCATAATCTCACAATTCGTTCACATGACTTACTCGTATCACTCTAATAATGTAAGCAAATTTTACTATGGCTTGAAAAGCATTTAATTATTGATGTGTTTTATTTGAAAATTAATATTTTCCAAAAATATTCAGAAAACACAATCATTATAAGGGTTTTTAGCTGACAAAGTCCCTGTTGGCAACAATGACTTGATAATTCGTTTCTTCGTAACGCTAACGCGGCAAATTCAAATTTCGATTTTTCGAGGGCCGTTTTCGCCCAAATGGAGTTAATTGTAGAATCGACAAAAATGTCGATAAGATAGCCCTTTCCGAGCACTACAAGCTACATCAATTAGATTTTGATTTCTGTTACTCCTGCAGCCGGAAAAAAATAAAAACTAATTTCCCATGTTAATTTCCTATATCCAAACCAGCGTGGGGCACGGTGCATATCACTTTTTAATAAGAGCTCTGTGAAAAAACTACTAAACTCAAATTAAATCTGCTAGAACATAGACAAATAGAGTTCACTATTTATAATACTTGATGAACTTTAAAGAAAAAATATTCCACTATTAAAAGATTTTAACACTCTCTTAAAAAAGTTTGCACTAAGAGACGATAGATCGCACTTTGAACGGAACGCGCATGTCGATATTAGCTCCCAGACTCCCACCTTCCAGCAATTCCAGCGCGATCGCCTTTCCAGCTTGCACCCTGGTTGACCATCGAGTGGAGGTTATGTTTTTTTTTTACGTTTTTATAATTTTAAAAGTTATTTAAGTGTAATAATGAGTGTGTGTAAAGAATTTATCGTCAATTTCCATTCTGATGAAGATGAATCCGACACTGACTGTGCAATGACTGTACAGCGAAAGCCTGCGAAGATGAAAGTATGGTACCAACAAACTGTGTTTAACAGACCGAAAGACGCTGAGGACTTCATCAGAAGTGAACAAATTTGGAAGAAAACTACGTCATACAATTCAACGGATGGATTAAAAGTTACCTTTAGATGTGTAGGTGGTCGATACAGAAAGAACGAATGTCCTGCGGGAAAGTATTGTATCACTCTGAGTGTATGAAAGTGACTCTTTTTAAAACCAAAGATGAGCATCTAGATAGCAGTAGAGGAATATCATCATCAGCAAAGTTGTTAGTACGTGAACTATACAGGCTGTTCGGTCCAAGTCGACCCGGCCGATAACACCTAAACTTACTTTTTTTTTCAAAAACTAAATTTTCAAATAATACTATTCATTCCTGGCTTTCTTAGAAAATGCATCAAATTTTTTTAGCACATCCGGTGTAGCCGGAAATGCTATCAAATTTAGTTTTTCAAATGGAACACCTATGTTTTTTTTTGCTCGAAACAATAATAATTGGCATGAAAAATACGGTAAACCACTATTTATTACATTTTACTTTACATAATGCCCTCAAAAAACAATTTAAATTTTTGAATTTTATTTCAAATTTTGCAACGTAGGCGGATTTTACTTGTTAAGGTATTCATGCAAAAAGCAATATGCTTGGATACCGTTTAATTGTTAGTTTGACAAAGCCTAATTCGTCAATAAATCTTATTGAGATCTTTAATAATGGATGATATTAATTACGACGAATTGATAGATCAGCTTGAAGTGTTTTTTAAGTGCAATAAAAATAGAGCGGAAGCTGAAAGACAGTATAGAGAAAAATACTCAAATAGAGTTCACACAAATCGTTGGAAATTTAGTAGAATTGAAAAACAACTGAGACGAACAGGTTCGCTTCTTAAAACTAAAAAACCTGCGGTTCTTAGTGAAGAACAAGAAAATAGAAATCTGAATGTTCTGTTATCAGTCGAAGAAAATCCAAGAGTTTCCATGAGAGAACTCGCTCATCATAACTGACAAATTAGTTTTGTCAAACCAACAATTAAACTGTATCCAAGCATTTTTTTATTCACACCTTTCTTTTAAAATTAAAAATCAGGCTACGCGACTAATTTCCTTATAAAAT